CCCCCCCCTGGATGTCCAAATGGGACCTCACCAGAGTCCAGCCCTGCCTGTCCTGCAGGCGAACAGGTCTGCCCCGGCGTCACCGACAGCCCGAAGGGAAGACGCTCCAGAACCCGTGACGCCCAAGCCGTGCGCCTGGAGACTCCGCGTCGCACAGCATCGTGCGTGTATATACTGTACCTATTGTCATTGACCGACGGCCGCGGCCTGCGACGCGCAATCGTCACCGAATTTACCGCTCCGTGGCGGGGGGCACCCAGGGGCCGCCTACCGCAGCTTCTGTGTCCAGTCAGTATGCACCCGTATGAGTGTCTCCCTGGCTTGTCTCCCGTCAGATCTGACCTCCTCGCATGCCTTGGCGTCGGAGGGGGACTCATCAAGTGCACAGTGGTCCCCAGATGCTGGCACCGCCGTGGGTGGGTGGCAGTGGTGGGTGGTGCAGGTACGCGGGCAGCCCACGCACGTCAAGCGATCGCGGGCCTCGCGACAGTGGATGAGTTCGTTCCAGAGTGGACGGCAACCCTGAAAGACTGCTTCGATCGCAGGCGCCCAATGGCAGACTTGGGCCCCGCGAGGCAGACTTCTCAGGGCTGCCTCGCTGCCCTTTGCCCACCCTTGGAGGGGGCCCTGTCCTGGTAGGTCCCCGAAGCGGGCTCCATCGGGCTTTACTTTCTGCCTTTTCTGATCGTGGCCGGCCACTGGGCACGCAAAATACCCAAGGTTCAACGTTGACCTGCGGCCCCCAACGGACCGCCCGCTGGGCCCCCTCCACCACGTCCCAAATTCTCCGCCAGGGATCTGACACGCCTGGGTCTGCAACGGGGAGAGAAACAGGAATGGCCAGTGACATGAGCCAGAGTAAAAGAGGAATCGACACTGAAGCGGGGGCCGGGAGACCTGCGCTTGTTCGTCGTGTCTTGGTGAAGCCGCCTGTTGTCCCTAACCATGCTATGCGTTTGCCTGCCTCTCCAGGTCACTGTCGTCTGTGAGTGTTGCCGACCCTTGTCCTGCTGAAGGCCCTCTGGGTGCCCATCTGCAAATGGCACATAATTGGGATGCACAAGCGCGTTGCCTGCATCTCGGAGAGCTCCGTTATCCAAATGTAATCCACAACGGACCGCGAAACAAGGCGCAATGGCCCCCAAGCTGCCAGATCAACAATGGAACTGCCGAGCAGCATCGCCAACTTCCACCAGGAGCATGCTTCCCGTGACCCTTCACATCAGAGCCTGAAACTTTGACAGAGGCATATGACAGCTCCGAGCACACGCCATGAGAACACCTGTGCCTCAGCATGACCTCACCTCTGGGGCTGCGAAATCAACTAAGCACGGTCTCGATCGCGTTCGCCCCCTTCCACCCTCGGGAAGGGCAGGGTTGTCATCGTGACCACTGGCCACCCACCGGTGTGCCGTCCCAGGTAGCAGGAAAGCCCACTCGGCCCAAGCATCTTTCCGAAACCCTTGACTCTGCATCGACATACGAGCAAAATGGGCCAATTCTATCAATATCGCACACCCTCTGGCTCGGGTGGCTTCATCTCGGATGGCCCAATAATCTCGGAACCATCGACGCCCCCCCCGATGCCAGGCAGACCCCAGCGCCAACGTCACCCGGGGAGCTCGGCGGCTAGACTCAAACCGAACGAGTCTTACATCTGGTTCAAGACGTGAGGGGACATTGGACGAGTGCTGCAAGCCCAGTGTGGGTTATGGCGCATTTTCCGATGGGCGTGGTATCGCGTCGTCTCACCAGACAGGCACCACAGCACTGGTGTCACGCAAGAGACCCAGAACACGTGGCTGGCCTACCACCCGGCCAACCCTCCCTAGTAGATCTCTCTGTCATGCTAGGTGCCAGGAGCCAAGGCCATGTGGGTGGAAATGCCGAATCGTTGAAAGGGCCATGAAGTCAGCGAGCCTCGCACCTGGCATCAAGAGGCTGCGCCAGCTCTTTTGGCACTTTCGATGTGACATGACGTACCGCGAGGCAACGGCACGACGCCGATGATACTTGTTTCAGTGGCCGAGTTTCGGAGCACCGACAGCTAGAATAGAGGGCGCGGTCCCCTGTGAACTCTTCCCGCCT